CCCAATTGAAATAAGTAAATGGTTCTTAGAAAGAGAAGGGAGGTATAATTTTAGAGGGAAGTGGAGTTTAAAAGTACAAAGAGTACGAACAACATTGAAAAGGATGTCTATTTCAATAGCGGGCGTTAAATTCTGGAATGAGTTAACAGAAGAAATAAAGGTCAGTAGTGATATAAACCAGTTTAAAATAAAACTCAAAAAAGAAATGTTAAATAAGTATAAGAATGAAGAAAATGCAATTAACCCAGGACGGCATGCAAACTGATGTTTAATCTATTCTACAAATTAGAAAATCTAAATATAGTTCTAGTTGAACCTGAGAATTTTATTTACTTATTATTATTGTTATTTTTTATGTGGTTTTTTTAAGGCATTGTAACTGTTTTGTTGTTTAAGTTTTGATGATGATGATGTAAACCTGAGGGGGTAGGGCTAAATAAGTATACACTTCTCCCTACTCCTTTTCAAACAATTGCGGGGAATAATTTTATGAAATTTTGGTGAATGTATATGTTTGAAATAAAGTGAACTGAACTGAACTGAACTGAACTTTAAAATAGGTAACTATTTACTGATTGTTGATTATAGAAACAGAGTCTGTAAAAATGAAATCAGCATCAGCTAGAGCATTAGATTAAAGAAAATGAAGTTGACATTAATAAAGATTTTGTAATAATTCAACTGCTGGTTGAGAAAATATGAAATAGAGCCCCCAGGAAAAACGACAGCAATTAAAACAATCTAATAAAAGTAAGAAACACTTAACCGGCTTTTGGTCACATCCGGTCTCCGCTGGTTGCCTGGCAACTGTTTAGAGTCAGGAAACCATTTGAAACCCTCTGTGTCCGAGAAATGAAAAAGGTTTTAAACAGTTTTGATGCTGACTAAGTCAAGTTGAGAAGAGAAAGTTGGATCAGTCACATCTTTTGCATCCTTGTAGCAGACTTTAGTAACTATTCATCTGGAGGATTGTACAGATCATCTTACTGTGAAAATGATATGATGAACATTTCACTCTCTAAATGGCCTTTGTTTTAAAACTATACATGTTTCTGACCCTAACTGACAAGCCCTTCCAAGATACAAATAAAAACATAAATCATTGTTAATTTTGGTCAAATTCACCAGTAGATATGTACACCCTAAAACTGTCATTGTGTCTATGCAGGTGCTAGCATTCTGTCCATATGTCTGAGTTTCTCTGTAGAAAACATGTAGGCTTTTACTAACTTGGCCATGCTGTAACTTTTTAGGACATTTAAGGTATTTTCCGGCGTACAATCAGCCCAAAAGGAGTAAGAATTTCCTTTGACGACACCCGCTCGCTCCATACTCCATGTTTCTAAGCTGTCGTTCCTCTCTTTTGTGTGCCTCTGAGGTTCTGTCACTCACTCTTTGTCTTAAACTCCACCACTCTGGTGCGTCTCTCTCCTGTCACTTTCTTCTGCTGACAGCTGTGCCTATTTTAGCCCAGTCCCGTTTGAGTTGGTGTGCTCATTTGCGTATGTGGCTGGTCTGGTCAATGACGTTTGTTGCTTCCAAATTATGACAAGAACAAATGCAGAATAGAATAGAATAGAATAGAATAGAATAGAATAGAATAGAATAGAATAGAATAGAATAGAATAGAATAGAATAGAATAGAATAGAATAGGACAATATACACTTGACCTGTGACCCTTTGGTTTCATTATTTATTTATTTATTAACTTATATTTCGAGAGGATAAACCACTTGAGATGAACCATCTCATTTCCAAGTGGGTCCTACAAATCAAACAAATAGTAAACCAAGATAGCAAGCAGTATTTCAATGCCACACATTGAAACCACAATAGTATTAATAAAAATAATAATGAAAATAAAAAATAAATAAAAGTAACTAAATACATATTATATTAATACTAATGAAAATAAAGACAATAAATAAAAAGATAAACACTAAAGAAAGATAGAAGTGAAAAATCAAAATCAAAAACAATTACAGATGTGTATTAAATATTCATACAACGAGATTTTAAACGGACAAATTGTATATGATTCTTAGGAAAACAGGCAAATTGTTCCAGTCTCTTGGTGCTTTGACAGAAAAGGCCAGCATTCCTGACTCCGATTTAGAGAAAGGGATGGCGAATGAAACATGATGCATTCTGCGAATGTGGTAATGAGATCTAAATGGTACTAGTAAGGTAGTTAAGTATGAAGGAAAATTAAAATAAACACATAATTGATGAGAATCATTTGCAGCCCTGTTGCTCTGGCCAGCTTCCATAACCCTGCACCTGATCCAGCTGCTCTGATAAATGAACAGAAACCAAACGCGAGGATCAGGTTACGGGGAAACGTTAAAATCTCACAGACAGTAACTCAAACACATCTGCACAAACACATAATGCTGCTCAAAAATGATTAAATCTATTCAAGAAAAGGCTTTGCACTTGTGTTATTACATAATCTCTGCTGCTGCCTGCCTAACTTATCGTCTCTTGTGCACAGCTAGAAGGTAGATGGAACTGAGTCTGGACTAATAGCAAAGCTCTTGTTTTACTGTATGTGATGACATATGCAAATGAGATTTGGATTGTGACCAAAAGATCTAGATCCCCAATACGAGAAACTGAAATGAGCTTCACCTTGTGACTAGCCTGGGAGATAAGGTGAGGAGCTGCTTTGTTCTGACACTAGGTGGCAGCAGAGCAACACGTGTATATACAGAGATGCTGTGACGAGTTAGGGGAGTTCCTGAGAAGTGCTGCTAGCAGGGCAACTGGCAATCTGTGATTTCTGGGGAATCCCAGAACAGCTGGTGTGCTCTACCCCCCCACCCCCACCCCCCACCCCCACTCCGCTCAGACATCCCTGGCATAGGGTAGAGCAGACTGCAGCGATGCCTCCTACCCGCTCATAGAAGTTAAAACAAAGGAGTCTTCCAACAGCTTTTTATTGAACTGAATTTATGTGGGTTTTGATTGAATTGGTTAAAGGTGTTCACTCACTAAAAACCCATTTTTAATTATTATTTCTGATTATAATCAGTCACGCTGAGTTTAACATGCAGGCTGAAGATGAAAGTAGTCTCCCACACCTATCTGCTGCATTAGTTTCTGATAGAACATAGGCGGTGACACTACAGGATTTGAAAAGCCTGACAGATCTACGTCACACTGTTACTTAACATTCACGGACCAGTATATTTCCACTCCTTTAATCTGAATGTTCTAGCAGCTTACACATGCAGAAACAGCTTTTCTACGTAACATCGCCAGACTTTTATATCTCAAAATAAGCCTTCGTCCCTCGAGTATCTGTGAGATGATGCAGCAACTGACGTCCAAAAAAGGCCTGATTTCATTAGCGACCTGCCTTCTGGTGTTTCTCTCCCCTTCTACACGTGTCTGCCCAGAACCACAATCATGTAGCATTTATCATGTGCGTGGGCAGCCACCATGTCTGGTCCTGAGTCAGTTTGTGGTTAAAATGGAGAGCGGGGTGAAGACAGGGCACATCTGTCTGGTGGTCTGTCCAACAAGTACAACGCAACAAATACAGACTAAAACCCATAATAACGCAAGAGACTTGATGTATCCGTTTGCCTGGTGTGATGCAGAAACATGTAATGCCTAAAACAACAACAAGTGACGATACACCCAGGAAGTGTTAGTCTGGAGATTGTTTAAGAGAAGAACAATAGAGCAGTGATGAGATGTGCTGTTGTGAGTCACAACGCTTCGCACTGGGCGGTGGGGGGTTTCTGGCACAGACGCAACTTGTGACGTCCATCGGACAATAGACTTGCATGGCTGCATGGTGGCGCAGTGGTTAGCACTGTCGCCTCGCAGCACGAAGGTTGCAGGTTCGAAACTCGGCTGCGGCCTTTCTGCGTGGAGTTGCGTGTTCTCCCCATGCATGCGTGGGTTTCCTCTGGGTTCACCGGTTTCCCCCACAGATCACAACGTGTCCTATTGGTTATAAATTGGAAGTCGCTTTGGATAAAAGCGTCTGCCAAATAAATAAACATAAATAAGCATAATAAACATAAACTTTCCGTGTCCAAAAAAGTTCCAGTCAAATCCTGAGTGACAGGCATTGGCACTGCTATTCCTTTAAGACCATATTGGCTTTAGAGTTGTGAGACATAACCGTCTGTTGATCTCAAAGACTTGCTGTATTTCCTGTTGCTTCTTTGGGATGCTGTCATTCAGCAACTTGCAAACAAGTCAAGATTTAGGAATTGTCACATAATGTGGACATATTCATTAAGTCCCAGTATTTGCAGGGGACAATAGACAAATTTTTACTTGGAAATGACAGAAGACGCACAAATGATACAAAGATTTAAAGTCTATTCTTTGTTTCTGTTTGCAATCTGTTGTTAACAGTCTTGGTCTTCATTAGAGGCAGGATTTAAGAAATAGCCGCCTGAAAACATCACTGAATTAAAATAATATTCTTAAACCTTTGAAACCTAACATTCTGCAGGTCAGCGTGTGAATGTTGTGTCGGCTGATTGTCTTCAGCTGGATTTATTTCTAAGAAAGATTCTAATGTGTTTAATCTTCCCTGGCTATAGATGAAAAAGGCTTTAACACAGAAAGTACACTGTTAGTCTATCTTTATTGTTAAGACTTGCTAAAAATCTGAAAATAAAAATATGTCAATTCATGATTGTCAATTCATGATGCCAGTTGAGCTAAATAATACAATTATGGTATTCTGTGGTCTAAACCTTATTTGAAATGTTTTCTCCTAATTTGTTCACATTTACTGAGAAAAATGATGGAGAGGACAAAACGAGTTATTTTTATTATAAAATAAATGCAGATGTAGGGTTACCTTTTAGATGCATCCAACAAATATGTGATATCAGTAAAGCACGTCATGCCAAATGTTAAAATCTTCACACAATATTGGACCGTTTTTATTTATGTTTATTTCGTTTAAGTAAAGTCCTCATTTTATCTAGCCTGGTCTGCCAGACTCGTCCTCTGTTTAATTCTGCACAGTTCTGTGAGCAGAAATAAACAGAGGACGAGTCTGGCAGGCCTGGCTACATTTTATCCGTTTTGCTATTTTGTTCTGAAATCAAACCTGTTAGTGGTCTCGCCCATCAGCTCAAACCCCCTCCATCAACCTTGGGTTGTTGGTACAGTCCGTCAGCCCGCGAAACGGAACAACAACAACATGGCGTCTAAAGCAGGTGGGTGAGTTTGGGCAGTAAGTTTGCTTTAGTTCTTTCATAACTTGACTTTAACTCAGTTATTTGGTCGACTAACGTGATACCATGAGTGCCATGCTACATTTTTGCTTCTGGCGTTTACGTTAGCTTACATGGCTAAAACATGAAAACATCCCTAGAGAACGACTGATATACAAGTTTAATACCTTTACAACATGTTTAAGCGTTTTAAATTAGTATAAACTGTCTGAACGTACACACTTGCACATGAGCGTGCTTGACCTAGTTCAGTTATGCTGTCAGTTATATAAAAAAATCTAAATGTTTGTGCACCAAACATGTTGTTGCTGTTCAGGTCGTCGAGGTACGAAACGCAAAGCGGAGGTTGAGGCTGAGGAGGAGCAGACGTCAACACAGAAGGAGACCGGAGAGGAGCACGTTGGCCAGCAAAACCTCAAGGTGGTTATTGAACATTGGTGAGTTGCCAGTAATGGAGTGATTGAACTAATATATGCGCACCACTAGGAAAGTGGTTCATCCATAGACTGTACATACGGTTTCATCACGTAGAGTTTAAAATGGACCCAGTTATCGTGTCGTACCGGGTTTTCCCTAAATGACATACAAAGTCCGTTTGCAGTGAATTTTTCGTTCACCTGTGTGTTTACCTTATTGTAATACAAGGACTCAAGTTCAGTTCTCAGCTGATCAGTGATGTTCATGACCACCTTTCAACGTGGTTTACACTCAAATGGTAACATCAGAATGTATTCAGTCCAAGCTGAGTAGATTCCTCCTGTATTTTACACACCTGAGCAGGTAAAATACAAACATGTCTCCTTCAAATTAATTTTCTTTTATTTTAAATCAGGAACAGTGTGTTCTAACCTTTTCCCATCAAAGAGCCATTATTGCCTGCTTCTCACAGTAAACACTGGGAGCCACAGCAGAGAGCTGCTTTAACCAATCGCAACAGGTGACAGCCAGTACCAGTCGCTCCTGTACATCAAAGTTATCTTTCAATAGAAGATAATCAATAAAGCGATTTGTAAAAGATGGATCCAGAAGTTGTAGCCCGTCTCTGCCTACAATATTTTAATATTTTTCACCATGTTTGTGGTTTTACTGAGCAGGTGTCACTTTTGTCACACGTTTCTTTTTAAAACAGGTTCAAACTTTTCAGATTTGATTGCTGTAATTTAACTTTGTAGGTGGGAAGGTAAGAAAAGGATCCGATCAATTTATTTTTCCCTCATTTACAGCGATGGAGATAACGGCGCAGTGCGCCTGGCTCTGGTAATCAAATTTAATTTTATCTATTTGTAACAATTTTCACAAGAAAACAAAACAGTTAAAAGCAGGGCTTGTGTTGACTGAATAGTTCCCGTATTTGTCCGTTTATTTTGACGGAGAAAGAATAGAAAGATAGCCTGGCAAGCCAGACGAAATAAATGTATTTAGTCTGGCAACGCTCCATTGATGGCCCTCGGTTGTGGGGCGGTTTATACCGTTGTCTTTCAAATGATCTCTGCATGCTACTGGACAATGAATGTGACATACTCACCGCAACAGCTATCGGTAAATGAGGCGGTCCACAGTTGAAGAAGGAGAAAACACATAATTTTTTCTTAAAAAAAAAAAAAAAAAGCACTTAAATACATCTATCTGCTCCTGATTCTAATGAAGCCCAAGTTCTAATAGTCCAAAATTGATGTAAAAGCCGTTTCAAACGAGCTGCTGCCATCTTGTTTCACTCTGTTGCATCATCCCACCCACCAGGCATATAGAGTGTCCTGATTGGCCCACAAAGCAGACAAAGCTCTGTGATTTGTTCACTAAGCAGACAGAGCACTATGATTGGCCCACCATTATGGACCTATCACAGCTCTTTATGTGTTTGAAACCCCTCTAGAGAGCTGTGATTGGCCAGCCAGAATGCTGTTGGGGGCTGCAGAGGTTCCAGTGGAGCGTTCCTAGACCAAACTTTGCAAAGCAAGAATTTGGTCTAGTTCACCAGGCTAATAGAGAATTACCTTGACGCATGCAGACAAACTTTGACACTTTATTCGTTACGCACATCACAGATGTAGCTAAATCACTCAAGAAAAGATTCCCATCTGAACATCTGAGCTGGACACTGCTCAGCGCAGCTCGCTGTCAGCGCATATGTGCACAGCGAGCTGAAGTTGTGGAGATTGGCTTGGAGCGTGTCGCAGAACCAGAGCGCATGCGGGAAGGTTCCTCCCACTGAAGCGAGCGTTTTCCAAACCCGGTCTCTTAGAGAGACTTGTCACTTAGAAAATGTTCCCTGATTATGAAACTTTGGCTGAATAGTGCTTGTTCCTGTCTCCAATGTGGCGACGCATCCAGGAGCTGAGGAGAATCCCAGAATCTCACATCCTCTTCAGCTCAGGAAGCGTAAATTACGCACGAGCGTGACCCGTCAACCCGGTCTCACAGTAAGACTGGGTTGGACCTGTTCAGGTTCAGACAATCTTTACATTTAGAATTGACAAACAGGTATAAAATTAATGCAGTAAAATATAAAGCATTTTATTTAAATATCCATTCATTATTTTACAAGCACAGAGAGCCGCATCAGATGGATGGAAGAGCCGCATGCGGCTCCAGAGCTGCGGGTTGCCGACCCCTATTTTAAATAGTCTGTGGGTCTCAATTGAAGATATCATCAATATTTTTTGCGTTTTGCAGCAGAGGTGGGGCTCTAGCACTGTGCTTGCATAAATGTATATATTGACATGATGAGCAGCCACTAATAGATACTCTGAATGACCATCACAGATGTCCAGCTGATGGTTGATCTCATATTTGTTTTTGGCAGTAAAAGCTGACGAGTGTATGGGCGTAATGCCCAGGAGGTGAAGTCAGCCCTTCTGGCCATCCGCCCTGGTCTGAGTGTGGTCATCAACCCTGACAAACCCCGCAGGAACAGCTTTGAGATCTCTCTGCTGGATGGGGACAAAGGTGAGGGGGAGAAGAAGCCAATGCCAGAAATAATCAGGACATCTGGTGTTTCCAAAGGAAATCCATTTTGGAGATCATCCTGGCCAAACTCTTCAACTTTTAGTTTTTGCAATTGTTCTCATCTTTCATTAATATTTTATTTGCACACAGAAGGCTATGACGATCTTTTTGTGACTTGAAATGCAAACATCAGATACTTAAACAAGAAAACTAGATTTGAAACGTTTTGAATAATTTAAATTTTTGTAAAGCATCCTTTTAAAAACTGCTCGTTGCCAGTTAACTATTATAAAATTTAGATTTCTCTTTCAAGTTTTCCTTATGGGTTTTCCTCATTTCTGTAATGTGAAGTTAGATATCTTCACAGGCTTGTTAAGTCCTGCCTTGGCTAAGTCCAAAAAGTATTTACCTAAATCCAGGGTATTGAATTCCAGTCCCGAGGGCCGGTATCCAGCATGTTTTAGTGGTTTCTCTGCTCCAACACACTTGATGAAATGCTTGAATCACCTGTGCAGCAGCTCATCAGGCTCTGCAGAAGCCTGTTAATCACCTGCTGATTGAAATCAGGTGTGGTGGAACAGAGTTAAAATTAAAACGTGCTGGATACCGGCCCTCCAGGCTCGGAATTCAGTACCCCTGACCTAATTGTCTGTGTTTGGATAATATGTCCTTTAATTGTCTTGAAATTAACTGTTATCAACTTTGTACTATTACTTTTATAAAATGACAGATCTCTTACTATTTTTCTTCTAAAGAAACGTCCCTGTGGAGCGGCATCAAGAAGGGTCCACCACGTAAAATGAAGTTTCCACAACCTGATGCTGTTGCAGCTGCTCTGCAGGAAGCCTTAAAGAGTGAATAAACACACAGTAAAGGTTTGTTTAACTTATTTAACAGAAACCTAGGGTGTGTCTGAATCCACGGGCAGGATGCTTATGAGTACGGGTCCTCGCTGGTCTAGCAAGGCCGGGTCCTTGCTCGACCGCTAAAACCGGAACCAGCGGCTCTGAATTCGGACAGTCTAGCCTTCACCTCTACGGTGGCCCGTAGGTCCCGTCACAGCCGTGGCGGCAGCTTCACGCAAAAGAAAAATGATAAAGCTAGTGAAAATGGAGCAGGAATATTAAGGAGCTACAGCAGCTTCACGTCCATCAGCAGCGTTTGTTCACAACCGTTTTCAGGTAAAGTAACTTTGTTTATTCTAGAAGCTTTCAGGACTTACATGTTAACTTTAGATGGTTTCATGTTTGTTTTAAGCTACGGAATGAACTTGTTAAACATACACAACACATTTCTACAGAGTATTATCTTGTAGGTAATTAATATAAACCAAATGCATTATAAATGTTGAATGCAGTAGGATGTTTTCTAATGTAAATTGGACCGTAGAACTTATTTTGCATCAAATGGGGGTAAAATGCTTCAAAAAACAGGCTTTTTAATAAAATAGCATTGATGTGTTTTCAATGTGCATTTGTTTATTCAACTTAAGACTAATAATGATTAGATTTGTCTTAAAAATGTAAATTCTCTGTAGTTTTTATTTAGCTATTCCCTGCTGATTTTCTTTAAACTGAACAGAACCAGTTGTACTGCAGGTTATATGTTTAGTTTGAAATTTTTCAATTAAAAAAAACTTTTTAATCTATTACAGGTCAGCATGCACTATTCTGCACATCTGCATCGGTGCTGGTGAAGTTGTGGGTCTGGAGGATGAGCCAGAGGAAGATGTGTGTGGAGGAGGTCAGCGGTGCTCTGTCCTGCAGGAGGTACCAGCAAACCATCACTATTGTTAACAGGCAAGTCATTTATGTAGGAACCTCTATTAAAAACAACACTGTGGTTTTATTTGCTTAAGAGTCACAATTGTTATACCAGTGGATCCATTAACCATCTCTTCATTTCATATTTCTGAATACATCTTAGAGATGTAACAGCCGAAATCTGAGCCAGCCCAGCAGTCCCTGTAGATGGACGATGGAGTGGACAGTGAGAGGAAGTGTCCCAAAGCTCTCTCTCTGCAGACCGTCCTGTATGATGTTCCTCTGGCCGGAAACGTCCAGCCACGTGTCTGCTCCAGCCCTCCATCCATGTCTGGATCCTCCTGCAGCAGATCCAGCTGCACTGTTAAAGACTTCCTGCTCACTCAGTTTAAATAAATGATCCAGGAAGAGTCATTCAGGTTAATCCTGCTTTAACAGTACATAACTGGTCCATACTGGTTTTGATCTGTAAATAAGTTTAATGTATTGTAAATAATCTTGTCTCCTTACCATCTTTTCATTTTCTGTTCATGTAACATGTTCAAAAACATCTGTAATAATAAAACTGGTGATAAAATAAATGACCAGAAATAGTTATCAGTCAGTATTTGTTTTAATAAATGTGTTCAAATATTAAACAGCTAAATAACATTAACATGACAGTAGAAGGCCTCTCTCCCAGCAGGACCACCAGGTAAAGCTCTACTGACCCTGGACACCGGCAGTCCTAAAAAGAGAAAATCAGACCGCAGGTGACAAAAAGGCAATAAACACATTTTTACATTTATCCACATGAGAAGATAAAAATTATATTCTTCACACAAACTTTTTACTTCATTAAAACGTGTCAGCTGTGTAAATCCCTGAATGTGAAACTACTTTTCACAGCAGAACACAGAAGAACTACTGTGCTCATGTGTAGACCGCTTCCCTCTTCACCTCTAAGCTCAATAAAAACGCTCTGTTGTCCCTAAAACAAATGACAAGTTTAATTCGCTACACACACACACACGGGAATAACTACGGGACCCGCAATAAACTGATTCTGGCTGATTTCTGCCAAAATGTAATTTAAAAACAAATATACAAACGAAAAATGTCTATGAACAAAACTGCTTTCTACGTCTAGTTTTAAACAAATTTACGTTTAAAACTTCGTAGCTCTCCCCATTTTCTCTACTTGTTGAAAATCCACAGCCGGCGAGCAAAGCATGCTGGGACAGCCTTGTTCTGTGAGGATACAACAGACCCCGCCTCGAAATGTGGGTGGAGCGAGGACGAGAGAATGAGTATTCTTGGAATTCGGACAGTACTAGTTGCCACGCGGTGACGTCATCGACCTCAAAATGCGCTCTTACAAGCATCCTTCCTGTGGATTCGGACACACCCCTATTTTAGAAGACCGATGGCTCCGGTCTTCAGTAGTCTCGCTTCCGTCAGTGTGCCCCAGGGAAGCTGTGGCTACATAACAGGTCATCATCATCATCAGCGTGTGGATTGTAGAAACCTAAGAAAGCCCCAATACAGATACAGGCCAAATATTAGGATGCAATTGAAGTATTGTGTTAAACCTGCATGTGAACAGCATTGACTCACATATGCTTTATGTTTGTTTACATTTAGTGAAATGTCACTAAAGTTTTTCCTCTCTTCTGCAGCCGGGCATCCAGAAGATGACTAGAAGCAAAAATGATGAAGAGTGACCAAGGAGACTTTCTCAGTCCCTCTTCTGAAGAAGCCAGCTCTTTGACACCTTCTGGTTACGCGGTGACACCTGCTGGGGCATCTTAGTAAATACAGGAAGTCTCCTAGTGTCTTTCAAGTGTTTTATTTCTCAAAAGTTGAGTGTTGCTGATGTTAAATAAAATGTTACTTTGTTTTTCTGCGTGTGTTTTTGCTTTAACAAAGCATGGACCTGTGTGCAACTAGTGTGGATAATTTGATACAGCAACAATTAAATTACGTTTATATGACCCCAAATCACAAGAGTTGTCTCAGGTTACTTTACAAAGTAAATGTTCCAGTGGAATTTACTTATCAGCTCATTGTCAATTAGTTAAAAGGTTTCCTATACAAGAAAACCCAGCATGGAGTCACTGACTAGTGTCAGAGTCTTTACAGCAATCCTCATACTAAACAAGCATGTAGTTACAGTGGAGAGGAAAATGCCCTTTTAACAGGAAGAAACCTCCAGCAGAGCCTGGCTCAGTATGGGTGCCCTAACTGACTGAGAATTTGAGAATACAGCAGACACAAAAACTAAACGGATGAACCGGAGTTTTCTGTTAAAGAATGTAAAAATAGAGGGAAAATGTTTAGTGGTTGGTGGTACCTCTCTAGGAAATATCCGCTTAGAACGCGAGCAGTCTTGAGTCTACAGCAGCATGACTACATAAGTAACTCAACAGAAATGTAACCTCAACAAGATTTATACATAAATGAGTATCATCAGTGTTGCACTGAACCCTGTGGTATTCCTCAAGTAACCCTACAGACTGCATGAAGATTTGTCGCTTACATGAAAAAACTCAATTCTGTCAGACGTAAGATTTAAACCAGCCTAGCACTGTTCCTTTAATCCTTACAACATGTCTGAGCCTTTCTAAGAGAATATTGTGATCAACTGTGTCAAAACCAGCACTGAAAGAAGGAAAACAATCGTTTATTGCGCCTCTCAAGATAAACATCACGAGGTTCTTCACAAAAAAGTATAAAAAAGATTTCAAAGAATGATTACAAATATGTGTAAAATGAGAGAAAAAAATTGATAAATTCATTTAGTAAGGAAAGGGGGAGAAAAAGGATATCACCGAGATCCAACAAGACCAGAAGAGATCATTCGTAAGCTTCATTAATGTGGTTTCAAGGTTAGAATGAGCTCTAACATCTTTCACTAACAGATCTTTACTGTTTAGATTCTCACATGATTTTTATGCTGATGCCACAAACTAAACAGGTACTTCTGATGAAAAATGTCATGCTTCTACAAGGATGATGAAAAAATATTTCCCATTATTGTCCCTGGTAATTTTTAAAACAAACACCCTTACTTGTGGCTTTTGGTAATGGGGTTCAGTGTGATATTTTTTCATGTGGTCTAAAGTCTCTGGTGGTGCCCCTGCAGATAAGGATATATAGGGAAGAAATTGTTAGTAAAATAACCTGTGGCCCTGTGTGAAGATGTAACCATTATAGTGAATGGAGACTTCATATAAATATCTCTGTTAGAGCACATGCTGAAAAATAAGATTTCCGACTTGCTTTGAGGGGAGCTGGTGACTAACTCCAGCCAACAAATATTCACTCACACTCAGAACATTTAACCTGACGTACATGTTTTGGGCTGGAGGAAACCAGAGTACCCTTGTTGCAAGCCCGAGCAACCAGTCAAGGCTTAGAAACAGTGGTCAGAGACAAGGGTCACACAAGGGTCAAGAGGACAGGAGTTCAGGACTTGCTGGTGAGGACAGAACTAGGCAAAGGGTCAAAAGACAAGCTGTCTTCTCTAGATCCACCCATGGACACACCCCTGGGCCTGCCCCTAACTCCACCTCTGGCGGGAAAAGAAGGAATGGCATGGAGTGAGGAGAGGTCCAGCTGGACCCAGGAACTCTCAGGAATGCTGGAAGAAGATCTACAATTTGCTACCAATATGAAGATTTATGACCTGTGCTCTCATTCCAGGAGTGCAGAATGTAACTTTTGTGCCCTCATGTGAATACTGCATGTAGTGAAATGATACTAAATGTCTTATGTAGAGCTAAAAAAGTGTATCTGGTGAATGACCCCTTGACCTAAACTGTCAGGAGAGAATGACTTGTGCCTCTTGCATTGTTTAGAGCAGTCTCAGAAATGATATAAAAGGATGCAGCTCAGATCGAGCAGGGGTCTTGAGAGGGGTCTTGTTCTTCAGTTCTTGGGGAGATTCTGAGAAGACAAGAGCTGGTGTAAACTGACTCTTATTTATTCATTTTGAACTAATTCCTCCGTGGGGGATAGTAGTTGTTTTTCACTTTACCCATTTTTGTATTTTGATTTTGTAATAAACCTTTTTTGAAAAAGAAACATAATCCTGATTCTTTCAGGTTTTCTCTAAAGCTTCACGTTTGGAGCCCTGGCCATAATTGCACAGAGGTAAGCATGTCGAAGATCGGTCTCTGAATTATCAGGACTTACTTTACAGTTTATAATAGAATAATATAAAGAAACCTTAAGATAAGGGAAGTTTTAATTTCTCTCCCCTTGCGAGTAACGAGTTGTCTTAAGGGTGATAAAAGCAAAATATTCGAGGTTATTTTGGCTCTGATTGCAGGTTGAAAAAGTCTCTAATCAGCTGGAAGGTTGGATTAATAAATAAATTGATAAACTTATGTTAGCCTGATCAACTAGCATAAATCATTTTATAGTTACCAACCTCCCACATAAGCTGTTAGGGGCGCAATTAATTCCGGGTAACCCAAACAATTGCTGAGAGGCTTGGCTTGCCTCCAGACTTCTCTCTAGTATCTTAACCAAAAGGTAACGAGTTTAAAAGAAGTGTAGCACTCTGAGGCTGGCTATTCGTGCAAGTCATTTCACCTTTAAAATAAAAGACAAGATTCTAATTAGGTAGTCCAAACCCGGGTCTGGTACGATTATACTCGTCGATACACCCCCGAACCCTGATGGATGCACCGTCTCATAAGTTCTAACGGAACTGGGTTTTAAAGGAACCGGTAAATGGGACGGGCACACGACATGGCGCCTGCAACGTGAGGCTAATCGGCGAAGGTTTAAATATTAGATACCGGACTATTCGACGTAGAACTATGTCTTTTAGGCTGATAAAAGCTTACGCACTATGGACCTGATAAGCTTGTAACCTTGGAGCGAAAACCGCACCAATTTCTCGAAAAGGAAGGAAATTTGGGAGAACGGACGATTAACTCAAAGAGGTATAAAGAAATCACGGCTTTCCGACGTAAGAAAAGCCAAGGATAAAAGCTAGGCAAAAAATAAAAAGGAATAAAGAGTAAGAATAAAGAATAAGACGTGAAAACGAATAAAAATAAAACAAATAATAAAAAAGAGAAACTTTCAACCAGCCATGGCAGATAGATCTTTAACGGTAAAACCGGAAAATGTTCTCCTTAATGTGAGATTTGTCACCGGAGAAATAGCGACATTTCAAGGTGAACCACAAAGCGTTTTAGCAATATCCTGTAACCGGAGTTTTCATAACAAGGCCGGAACGGCTCAAGCCGCAGCGGAGCGCTGTCCGAATGCTGAAACTCAAGTAAAGAATAATCATGTATTTCCGTTAGTGGGATCGCACGAGGGAATTTAAGCAGTCAAAAAACGAATTAGGACGGCAGGCCGGAAACAGATTGAAAAGTCAGATACCATCCCCTCTGCCCCCTCCACACCAACAGCAAGGGAGCCAATCAGTGAGTTCTCAACCGAGGCAACTCCCACCCAGAACAGAACCGAATCAGAACCAGAGAACCAGGGGCCAAATGGACCCAAATGCAAGGCCGTTTTTCATGGGACCCCCCGGCTGCCCTGTGGCTCGACCCAGGAGAGCGAATCCGGAGGAGTGGGCCCGGATGACCAGAGAACAGAAGGAGAAATTGATCCAATCAATCAAAGATTGGGACGCGAAATACCACAATCAGAGAAGACCGCCACCACAAAAGTAGAAATAATTGAGGCGCTCTCATCTCATACGCATTGGGATGGGGAGTGGCTTAAAGTAAAATACGAAAATACAAAATACATTTTAGATACCGGGGCATTAATATCAGTAAAGCGTGAAAATAATCCGATGGAACAAATAGGATACAAGAATGTGATACTCGCAGACGGCTCTGTACGTAACATGGCAGTTCATAAAGACGAACAGGGAATTCTTTACATAAAAGGTGCAGAAAACTTAATTAGTTTAAAGGATTTAGTTAAAATAACAAAAGACCCAGCGCTGCATGTGAGTTTTTTAGGTGAATTAGATATGGATAGTCTCATTAAAGAACAACTGGAGAAAACTAGTTTGGACCCGCACAAACTCAGAGAAATAATCCAAAAAGGTAATTGGGCTACACACAAAAATGATTGTGGCAGAGTAAAAGAACAATGCATTATTAAAGGAGCGATGCCTGCCAGGGAAAAGCAGTATCCGATCAGAGAAGGAAGAGATGAGATCAGATGTACTCTCGCTGAGCTTAAAGAAAAAGGGATAATCGAAGAGAAAGATACATTATCCACCTGTCTTCCCATTCAAGCTGTTCCTAAACCTGATGGCACCTACAGACTGGTACACAATTTAAAAGGTTTAAATAGAGTGACTCCGCACGACGTGCGTAAAACTTTTGACCCATACATGCAGCTCCGAACCATGCCTATTAAAAAATATAAAACATGCATCGATTTGGCTAACGGTTTTTGGTCTGTACCTTTAGCGCAAGAAAGTCGAGCTAAGACTGGATTTACATTTGAAGGGAAATATTATGAATGGTGCGTTTTACCAATGAGATCGGAAACGCAGAAGTGGATGAATTAGTACAAGCTCGCGCTTTGTTTCTACCCACAGCGTTTTTACAGAACAGGAGCGCTGCAGCTGATGAAGAGCTGGTGACATTTGCGCATAAAAATTACGGACACGTAGGAGTATTACGGTTGCGTGAGATTTTCAAAAAAGAAAATATTTCTGTACCAAAGCTGAAAGAACTTACAGCACGAGTAAAAGCGACGTGTGAGTCGTGTAAAGTAAAAGGAGGGGCTCAACCCGTGATTTATGACCATTTGCCCATCATGTGTGATGTGCCGGGGGTGCATTTCAGCACGGATGTTGGTGAATGTGCCTCTAGAGGAATGAACGGACATAAGTTCTTTTTGGTAATCAAA